CCATTAGCTTCTTTGTAATCCATAAGTTAGACAACTTCTCCTATAAAAGGAAGCTAACTTATGGAAAACCTAATAATTTAGAGGCTTCGAGAGTTAGAGGCGAGATAGAGAGTAGGGTTGCCGCTGCTCTCTTTCTCGAGGGAGAGCAGCGGCCAGTTCACGGTATACCAGATTTGGTTTTCATCTTGATATCTTTCTATTTGTTTCTTCTTCATCTGTTATGATTATGTGATTGTTAAGAACAGGGACTATCAGATTCCATCAGATGCGTAATATGATTAGCTGTCTTTTTTTTACGATCATGTCGTCCATGTAGACCTCCATTGTCTTTCCTATATCATCTTTGAACATCATGGTGAATAGTCTTTGGAACGTCGCACTTGCATTTTTAAGACCAAAAGGCATAACGATATAACAGTACATACCTGTCTCAATGATGAAGGCCGTCTTCTCTTGATCATCAGGATGTAGCTGAATCTGGTGGTATCCACTAAAAGCGTCCATGAACGATAGCGAATTGTGCCCGACCGTTGCATCAGCCAGTACGTCTATGTGTGGCATCAGAAACGAGTCTTTAGGATATGCTTTGTTCAGACCTTTGAAGTCGACATAGACTCGCCATTTTGCCTTCTTGCCTTTTTGCCTTTCCTCTTCCGGACCATGACAATGTTGGCCAACCAGTCAGAAGTAGCTGACTTCTCTTGCTTTCCCAGTCCGCAGAAGTATCTCGATTTCCTGATTTAGGATGTCATTTCGTTCCTTGGAAAAACATCTTCTCCTTTGTCTAACGGGTTTACATGACAAATTGACATTTAACTTGCGTGTTATAATTTTTGGATCATTGCCCGTCATATCTTCGTGACTCCATGCAAATACATCCTTGTGCTCCTCAAAAAATTCAATCAACTCAACCTTGAGATGGTTTGATACATTTTTCCCTATGCGGATGACCCCTTCTGGATGTTCAGGATCAATGACGATTTCTTCTGTTCTGTCGTCATCTTCCTCCTCCAAGGCGGAGTCACCCTTTAATTGCTATGTTGGGGTGTATTGACTTGTTGTTGGCTTCATGGCAGTTTGGTAACACGACTTGGCTGCTGACCGGTCTCCTTGGATGGTATGTACTCCCCAAGGCGTCGGAAACTTGACAACTTGGTGGTACATCGACAGAATGGCCCACATTTGGTGCAACCATGGAGTTCCCAGATTTATATTGTATGCTGACGTCCATAATGTTACGTCTGTGGTTCTGCATGAAGCTGGACGGACCCGGATCTCCAAAGGTCCTGCTCCTGAAGTGAGGGATAGAGGGCTCTATCGGAGCAGAGACCGTAGTCGTCGTAGGCATGCTCTGAGTTGCCGAATATAGGCTTGCCCTTGGATGTGATTCGAAGGGACTTCGGGAAGAAACAAGCTGGAATGTTGGGGACCAGAGTCGTCTCCGGGAAAAGAGGTGTATAGGGGACGACCTGTGAGATGACCATAGGCTGTGGATCTCCAGTTGCTGAAAGGCCCAACGTGAGGGAGACGAGATCCGTCGTATTGGCGGGTGGATTCGTCACAACTGGAGTGATGCCTAAATCCAGTCTTGTAGCGGCGGTCATGGCGTCGTTCCTCTGATTAATTCTTGAGTTCGAGGCTATTGACACCGCCGATTGCACCTGGGATTGAAGCACATCGTTCTCCTGCTGAAGATGAGCCACCCGTTCCGCCACCTCACGCCGGATTTCTTCTTTTGCCATTTCTAGCTGTTCGAGAAACTCAATCAACAAGGGATTAGTTCCGGCCATGACTGAATTTCTTCTTGCACGATGCCCCACGGTGGGCACCAAATTGTTTGAGCAAGAAACAAGTTATCTCAATAACAATCTAATAGTTTCAAAAGGGAATCACACAAGAAAATAATAATTAAGACTTATATATCGATGAATTTGAATGGCAATACAAGAATATTAGTAAGCTTTTTATCAAGAATGATCGTGTATTCCCCAATGTCGAGCTAATTTATTTATGCTAGTAGTCTTCTCCCCCGTTGATAACTCAAGTGTTCGGCCAAATAGCTCTCCTCCCTTTTGTGAAGAGGTCGTTACCTTCTCTTATCTCTATTCCCCATTATATCTTTCTTGGGTCATACTCCTCGGGTTGGACTTCCTTTTTATTCAATTGGGCTGCTCCCTGATTCAATTATCGGATATGGGCCGATTAGGCGTTTTGAATTCCACGGCCCAAAGAACTCCCTTACTGTGGTACTCATGTGATATATATTATTGAAAGGATAGTCTCATTAAATAACAGACTATCTCCGTGCACCGCTAATAATGCTAGGTGCGCCTTCTTTTTTCCAGTTTTGGACACATATGTCCTATCTTTCATACGGAATAGGAACGTGCATAATATTTCATTTCCTAACTACTACTCGGTATACGATTGTTGATGAATGACCATATCTCTATTCGTATAGATATTTTAATGGGCCTTCTTCTGCTTGCTTTTTTTTATATAAAAATAGGTTTACGTTCAAAAAATACGTTTTAATGTTAATTAAATTTTCATTCACAAAAATTTATTTCCTTAAATTTTGTGTAACATTGTTTCTAACAAACAATTATTTAAATTATACTAAATTCCTAATATAATCAGACTTACTAATTGTACCTACCATCAAACAAATACTAACTTCGTCCTATTCAAAGATTCTCGTTCACTATTCTATGGTCAACGTAAAATCTTTTTAATCTTTTACTTTGTATATTCAACTGTTTTCAAATATGAGTTTTTCTTTTGTGACTTTATAAAACTTTTAATGTAGTTTATGAATATGTAAATTTTATGTACTAAAAAAATCTAATTACGGGGTACTATATAAATATGTCTAACACATTATCATGGTTTTATAAAATTTTTACAATCTTCTTATATAATGGAGAATGAATATGATGATTATCTAAAAAATACTGCTTTTAACTTTTAGACTTATGAGGTATTTATCTATCGTAACCTTCAGTTCATGATAGGTTGCAGGCGTGGGACGTCGGGCAACCGCATTGGCATTGCTTGGGTATGGCAGTGCAGGAACGAAGGTCGTGGAGACGCTAAGGTTCGGTGGCATGCTTTTTAGAAGGTGTCACGATGATGGGTCAAGCGTACACGGGGTTGTACGGGTTGGACATCATATTTTGGCGAAGCACACAAGGGAGTGGGCGTTCACCAAAACTGTTGACCGTGGGTCAACGTGTTGCTAGTTGGATGTGATCCTTTGGCAACGGAGCGGCAAGCTCAACATTTGGACTTAGGATCATGGCCAGATCTAAGTTTAAGGCACTTGGAACGTGGGAGGACGTTCGTGCGTGTGGCTGATCAGTGGCACGATCGAGACTGTGCAGACTGATGCAGCGTGGCCAGGCGGCACACAGGGGTGTGAAGCGTTGTGTTGGCATGGGTATTGTCAATAGGCCATGGCACATTGCCAGTTTTGTAGCCAGATGTGCGAGGGCAAGTATTGTCGAGTGTTTGCAAGTGTTTAGACATTGTGAACGTGTTGTATTAGTCATAGTGTATTAATTGTGAATTAATACAAGGTTGGTCGTTGACCGTAAAGTCGTGTGCCTATATTCTACATGTGTGTTAAAGTGTTGCGTTCCTATTCTCAATTAAGTGTCTAAGTGGCATTCAGGGTAATGCTGACTGTGTGAAGGCGTTAGGGCAAGCCATACAGGGTGAAGATTCTAGCTGGGAATTTTACCGTGTAACAATTGGTATCAGAGCATTATCGTGAACCGAAGGTTACGTAAAGCAGAATTTGGGGTGCGCCAAGCAACCCCTTAAATAAATAGGTAACATTTTCCTGGCTCTTACCCATCCAAGGATATTTTTACTTTGGACTGTAATTCCTCCCAGACCAGACCAAACTAGACCAGACCAGTTCAGACCAGACCAGATTTGAATAGTTATAATAATACAAAGAAATCAAACCAGACCAGTTCAGACCAGACCAGCAAATTAGAGTACAACTAAAAACATCCTAACATGGTTTACTAGAGGGGTAAAAAAAGTATAATCGTAATTTGAGCAATCATCTACGGAGTATTTATACGGAGTATTTGTACGGAGTTTTTTTAAAATAGAAATTAGTTCAAATAGGACTAAAACTATGGCAAAAACCTAAAATAGGACTTGCTATGTTTTTATTCCAAAATAGGACCATATGAGTCCTATTGGAAACATACCTATTTTTGCATTCCATTCTTATCCTTCCATTAAATATGATTAAAAAATAGTCATAAGCCATAATTAAATGTTTAATTCATAATAAATTCGAAAAAAATTCAAAAGTTCGTAGAAATATAATTAAAAAATTTATAAAATTTTTATAAAATAAAAAATTCAATTTTTTTTTAAAATAATTTTATTTTTAAAAAATTAATAAAAAATAGTAAAACTCCGTAAAAAAAATTTAAAAAAATATGGATGTCTTTCCCACCGCCTATACTACCTCCCAGCACCACAACCTCTGGCCGATGAAAAAAATGCCATTTTCCCAGAAAAATGTCATTTTTTATGAAAATGCCAAAAAAGTGGCATATTTCTCTTTTCGAATGCCAACATTTTCATTTTTTCTGTCATAAATATGGCATTCGTAATGAACTTGGCATTTTTTCCCCCTGGTGACTGGAGGTGGTGGTGCTGAGGCGGCAGAGGCGGCGGCGATTTTTTTTTTTGAGTTTTTTATTTTTTATTTTTTATTTTTGTTTTAATTTTTTTAATTTTTTGAAAAAAAAAATTAATTAAATTTTTAATATCAAAATGTTTTTCTTAATTTTTTAGTATTTTTTACGAATTTTTATTATTTTTTATTATTTTATTAGGAATTAAAACATTAAAATAGCTATAAGGGTATAATTGTCCAAGGTACACATAATTAGTCCTATGAAAATATAGTTTATTTTTTGGTCCTATTTGTGAAAAGTGAATGACTTTTAGTCCTATTTTGATAATAACTCTCTTTTAAAACATGCTAGGCGGTGCCCATTACGTCACACACTTAGATTTCGGCGAAGGTTGTTCTTGTTTGCTACATCTAGATCCCTACCCCCAGAGCAATTTCGGGTTGAAACCGAACTGAGGGAAATGGGATTGCTTTCCAACAGGTAGGAATTCGATTATCGTACTTTTGATTTTCATATCTTTCTTATTTTATCCGTTTATGATTGATGGCTTCCCCAGTGTTAACCGCAATTTTAACGTAACCAGAATTGATAGGAGCAGCCTTAAAGCAGGGGATCATATATATTCTTGGCGCACTGCTTACGTTTATTCTCACCATGGTCTGTACTACTATGCCTGTTATCTAATCTGGATTAAGATGCACGTATTTATCACGGAAAATCTGATATTTTATCTGATTACACGGTTGCGGATAATTGTTGGTACCCTTTTCGTGGCTTTAATAATTTTTTTTAGCAGCAAACGAGTATTCATTTCTGGGGAAAAGCTTGATATGCTAATTAAGCCTTACTGTTGTGAAGATATATATGGTCATTTGTTTATTATTTGTTTCTGCATATCGAGGATGCTATTCGTTGGTGTAGAGGTGAGGAAGGTGGATAGGAGAAGTAAGATTGGTGAATGGATCAATGGAAATAGAACTACAATTATAAGTGAAGTGATGAACTAGACATTCTCATACATACTCCCTCTGTCCAAAACAATCTATTTCTCCCCAAAAACTGAAAAAACATTTTCAAAGTAGTAGTTGTTTTGAGAACTCAATATGTTCTTTACTCTAATCTTACAAAATGGACCATATAAAAGGTGTGTTTGCAACTTTGCATTTGCTTAAAACAGTACACATAGGTGCCTTTTTCTTAAAGAAGCAAAAGTAATGTTCTCATTATTTTGTTTTGGCTAATTTTCAAAGTGTACCACATTATCGGAGTGCTTAGATCTGCTTAGAGCGGCACATTTGTGCTTTTGTTTAAAGAAGCTTAAAGTGGTGTTTTTAAAGGGTCTCTTAAGCAACTTAAAGATAAAAGCTATAAGCCAGAGAAATGGTGTGGAAAGCTGTTTTTCACCTTTCCGGCTTTCCTAACTATTTAACCTAACCAATACGTTAAGAAGTATTTTTTCGCTAAACACTTCATCTTCTACTTTTAAAAATTTGTTTTTAGTTTCAAAAAATTTCAAAATTTACAATTAAACACTTACTGTATAAATCCGGTCTCGCGAGCACTACTACCTAACTCCTCTTTAACTATTGTTTTGGTATGAAAATTAAATGCAAACACCACCTAGCTCCTTAGTATGTCTGAAATTTTGTAAAATGACAGTTACTGAGGGATCAATGCAGTATCACCTAATGTAATTGCCAAAATGAATGCATAATTATATAATTAAGAAGGTGAGTTCAAACATCAATGCATACATACATAAGTCTGAGCTCCTCAGCATCTGAATAGCTTATCCACAACTTCACAATGAGGCTGCTTCTTTTTTTTTGTTTTAAATACTTTTTATCAAATATTGATTTTACTAAAATGTGGTATTAGTCATATCTCATATGCCTAGTGCCTAGTGTTTGCCTTGGTGGGTACACAAAATGCTTCTATTGGTGTTATTATTATATTTCAACCTCTCAAGATTGTCTTCTATATTCTATGGATAGGCAAATTTCTATAAAAGTGATAGTAGTCATTGATTGTTCAATTTGGGAATATGATCATGTGCATGTGAATGGTTATTATGCTTGAGTTTGAAACTGTTTCCATTAGTACTTCATTTTTACTTTTGCTGCCGACCTTGTGAAGCTGCATTTTTACTTCTAAAACTACCTCTTTCTAGATGACTTACCGTTGAAAAATATTGGATTAATTACACCCACTTCCCTCAAGATATGGTCAAATACTCAAATTAACAAATAATCCCGGAGTTGCTAGAAGCTACAAATAAGCTCCTTGGCAAGTAAAAAATTTTAACACCAAAAGATGATAACTTATTTTGGTAGAACTATATTACTATGCATTGAGTTTTTGGACTCTATATGTGTGTTTGGAGATCCTTTTTGAGGAAATGATGAGAACAGAAAAATAGAAATCAACAGGGTAAACCGTTGCCCGTTGCCCGTTGCCCAGATAATCAACGATAAAAATATCGTTGCCCAAAGCCAAAAGGCTAAACTCCAATTTTATTCCCAGATGATCAAGAATGAACCTTGGCAAGGGGTATAAATAGCCTTCTAAGAGAAACCCTAATCAAGCCCAAATTAATTAAATCCTAATTAAGCCCATACTAACTCTACCAAGTACTCTACAATAATAGGCCCAAACTAAAAACATAACATAAACTTTATAATAATAAATAAAACTATAATCTCAGCCCATAACCGGCCCACGGAAGTGGGCCCAATCCCGTTCCCGCCCCATGCTCTTCTTGTTCTCTATCAATCCATCTTCCTTCGAAATAACCTTGTCCTCTAGGTTGAAATCTCGCAGATCGAGGACTGAAATTTCCAGCCTATTCTATAGGCCGGAAAATATCCTTCATCTCCTTCCTGAACCTTTTCCTGGCCGGTTATTTCACAGAACTCATGCTCTTGGAGGTCCAACTCCTCATCCTCCTCAGCTATCATTACCCGCAACTGCTTAAAGGGGCAGTCATGCCCTGGTGTAAATGGTTTCTTACACCTAAAGCATAATCCTTTCGCCCTCAATTCTGCTAAATCCTTTGGCGGAAGTTGAGTGAACTGAGAGCGTGTCGTAGGCTGCCCGGACAGCCCTGACTTTGTCCCCGGGGGCTGTCCAATATCTTTCGGATAGCTGCCACTTGATCCCTGTAAGCTGCCACCATTGACAGTCAACGGAGGACCCGTGTTTGACATTAAAAAGCTGCTGGAACGTACCCCTGAAGGATTATAATTCGGGCTGCCACTTCCTCCACTCTGGATGGACAGATTATGCTCCACATCGTGAGCTAATTCCATGGCTTCTTCCAAGTTACCTGGTCGAAACAAGTGTAGCGAGCTTCGGATTGATTCTTTTAGCCCGTTCATGTAGTATTCCAAATAATGATCATCGGACAATCCCGGAACTTGGTTGGCTGACTGAACAAATCTGCCCAGGTCAGCCGTTCAAACTGATTCCCCTGAAATTGGGAATCGAATCTGGCCACCAGAGCTTGCTTGAAATCTGCCCAGGTCATGGTGGGTTTGCGCGCTCTCAGCCAGGTTACCCAATAGAGGGCAGTCCCTTCCATGTTGAAATTAGTATTAACATGAAACTGTACCGAAAGTTATATTGAACTGCAAAACTGATCAAATATGATACTCCCTCCATCCCAATTTGTTTTGCAAAACTTCCCTATTTTGGTTGTCCCAAAATAGTTTTCCACTTTCTATATCAAGCAAATATAAATGAATGAAATGACAACTATACGCTTGCATTATTTTTCCTTGCCCCATGTCACCTTCTCCATTTACGGAGAAAATTATTCCCACCCACTCAAAATGACTCAGACATTCACTTTATCCCACTACCCATATCATGCTTCTCTTCTCTCTCCTCCCCTCATTTCCGATTTTAGATCGAGCTTCGTAAATCCTAATGGCACCTTGTTCCTCTCTAAATTTATAGACCTTCAGATAAAAAAATGAAATCTCATGACACCCTGTTCCTCACTCCCTCTCAATGATAAGTAGACTCCTTCACTGTTTGAAAACAAAGAGTGGAAAATGTGGAAGATGAAGGATTTCACGGTGAAGACAAGATGGTATGCGGTGAAGTTCTTTCTCTGACTCAAAGTATGTATTTCGTATTTTAATTTATCTTCCAGATCTTAAAGACAATAAGGGGTTAGTAATGTTCCAGATTCTAGAGAAGAAGGCCTCCACGATGCAGATGGGGACTCTCGATGTTCATTGGGAACATTTGGTTTTGTAATGGTTTGAACAGTATGTATGTACGAGTACTTTCTTTGAATATGCACTAGAAACAATAGCAATAGCAATTTTACTTCTTTCCTGGAAAAGTGTTTTCTTGGGAAACAGATTTACCATTTACGGATTCTTTTCTTCTTTAATAAAGGAAGGGCAGAATGGTAAACTGAACTTTTATTTCTATCCTTCCTTAGTTCTTGTGGCGGCCAATGTTTGCAACTCAATTCAGAACAGAGGGAGTATGAAACTATTATAAAAAACCTCCAGCCTACTGTATTCTCACCAAACATAAAAAATCTGTAGATAAAGATTTTTAACACACTGCCTCTTATTCTCGATATTGCTACAAACATGGACATCACTTTCTCTTATATCTCAATGGAAGCCAATTTAGTAGTTATTTTGGTTAGCAAGATGAGTGAACCTCTCCTTTGCTGTTTTTATCAACACATCTTCGTCCCCTCTACCACATTAGAGAAGTTTGTTGTCTAGATATTTCTAGGCTTCCCTGTAGTCCTATATATTGTTTTCAATACTGTTTGTGTACTCTTGGAGTAATGCACCATGTCCTCCATGTAACTTTCTTTTATTAATAATATTTGGTAAGAGAGGCCTAGCTCTTACCCTAGTGGGTGGTATTTTCCGGGCTATAAAAAAGTTATATTGATTGCAGAAATAGTGTATTTGAACATTTATTTAGGATGAAGTACATTCTTTGATTCTTTCTGTGTTAAAAATAATAGTTTAATGAAAATCTAATGGTCAAGGGACTTGTTTGTAGTTTTTAGAATCATGAGGTCATTTGATCAAGTCTCATGGGGTAGAAGTAATTAATCAAGAATGTTTAGTCAATTGCCAACTCTATGATGTGTCACTCAACATCTGCTTTCATTTTACTGTTAAGGTTAACGAATAAATGAGTGAATGAATCAAAAGACATATGAATGAAAGATTTGCCTTGTGACAGGTATCTATGTTGGTGAGAATAAAGTCATCCACTTCACCAGACACGGTCAAGAGGTGGGGACCGGGACTGTGTTGGATGTCCTCCTGGTAAGCTCCGGACCCTCCCGGTCCCATGTGCCTTGTGTCACGTGCACCCCCTCAAGAGACAGCCACGGGGTCCACTTGTCGTGCCTGGACTGCTTCCTTGCCGGCGGCATCCTCTACCGATTTGAATACTCGGTCAACCCCGCTCTCTTCCTCGCAAAGGTACGTGGGGGAACTTGCTCCCTTGCAGTCCCAGATCCGGATGAGGATGTGGTGCACCGGGCAAATCACCTTCTTAGAAACGGGTTCGGGTGTTACAATGTGTTCAAGAACAATTGTGAGGATTTTGCGATCTATTGCAAGACGGGTTTGCTCGTGGTGGATGAGAGGAGTTCGATGGGGCGGAGCGGGCAGGCGGTGTCTATAATCGGCGGGCCTCTGGCAGCTGTTTTATCGTCACCGCTGCGGCTTGTCACGACAAATGTGTATGGGATGGCAGTTATGGCTGTTGGGGTGTATTGTGCCAGCCGATATGCTGCTGATATTGGGACGCGTAGAGATGTGGTGAAGGTGAGTGTGGAGGATTTAACGGGGAGGCTAGCAACTGACATGTATCAGGCTTCTGTTGTGCCCAGTCTTCCTACTCTGCCTGCTACAAGCTGATGTGTTTCTGGGCGCATGTGTGTAAGATATTATGATATCTGTAGTCCTTCACAACTACATCTTTGATACGGACAGTTATTTGTGACGGTTTGTATGCAAATGATAACAATTAACCAAAATTTCTATACTGAGTGTTTCTTTTGGAGTTTTTCTGCTACCTATAGCATATATTACTAAATCAAAAGTGATGAACAAAAAAATGACTGACATTGTGCTGACCGGTGACAGCACCACTAAAAATTGTCGCTCATATTAGAAATGGTCATTAATATGTCACTATTTCTTTATTTGTTTTTAATGTTTCAGCCAATCCCTCAAGCCAATATATGCTGTTTTTAGTGGCGTTTATCAGTTCATTATATCCAAGTGAAGCTAAAATTGATATTAGTATGATGTGAAAGATCATAAAAAGTTGGCTGAGATTTTGAGGCGATCGGATCACTTAGACTGGTTCAAGGGTTTGGGAACATATTATTTTACTTACATACGACAGTATATAAAACATGTCATCTTTGAGAAAAAGTTTTTAGATTTTTAGCTGCTTTTGAGATGTTGGAAACGTGTTAAAAAATCCAATTGTTGAAAAGATCTAATTTCATCAGTTGTGCCACGCAAAATGACAGTCACAAAAGACATTTTAGTGCTCTTATTATGTTTTAAATAATTTGATATTTATACTCCGTATTACTTATAAATAGATCTATTGTTTGTCTTCCGTTAACATATAAAAGCAGATTAGGTAGAGTGATCGGCTCTTCATGGTCGGTTTGTTGAAAAATCAAGGGTGGGAGATGGGAGATCTTGCGGTCCACTCCGTCGATCTCTAGATCATCCTGGTTGCTATCTAACCGTCCCCTGGCACACTATGTCGTACGACAGAGAATCCGAATCCATTCGATGCTTATAGATCTTGGTTTATTTTTGCACGATATATTACAAGATACTCCGTATACAATTATGAGAGGAAAGAGAAAAAAGAGGGTGAACATCACCAAAAATGAAAAAGTTATAGCAATTGCAAAATTGTAATGTATTTTTGCACGTTTTTTTTACGAAAGGAAAGAGAAAACAATTTTGTTCACCCACTCAAAAGAGGGTGAACTGGTGAACATCAACCCATCCTCCAAATCTCCTATGCTACCGCATGACATAACAATTGCTATAACCTTTTCATTTTTGGTTCAATTTTTTCAAACAACATATCAATATTTTTAATTTTTTATGATCTTTCATATCATACTAATATTGCATATGTAAAATTAAAAAAATCCGGCTCAAAAGGATTTAAGAGAAAAATGTTTTTTTTTTTTAATTTTTTTGTATGCAATATTGATACCATTGGAAAGATCATAACAAGTTAAGAAATCTAATATATTTTTTCTGAAAGTTAAATTATAAATAAAAAATTTATAATGATTTTAAGAAAAAAAACAATTGCAATGGCAAATGACAAGTAAAAAGGGGAGGTGATGATGTTCACCTCCAACAAGGGGTGATTAAAATAGGTCTCGAAGAAAGGGACATGGATATTATGTGCACAATTTACAATGTTGATAAGTCATACTCATTTTGTAATAATAAAATAAAAAAAAATGTTTATAATGCATTGTAGGTATTACTAAAGCAAGTTTGGGCGCTAGGAGACGTTGCGAGAGAAGCCACGCTTTGAACATAGCTTTGTGGTCGAAAGTAGGCCTCCACATCGGACGGGTTGGGTCGGATTTTCTATATTTTTCGGGTTTACCCAATTTGTTCAGATTGGCTATTATTCAACCCGTGGTATGTAATATAAGTTGGTAAATCATACATGAACGGGTCAGGTAGGGTCGGGTATTGAAAAAAATTACTTCGGGTTGCATCTTTAATGTGAGAAACCAATGTAACCAATTTGAAACTTGATTAACTTGTTTCCAAAACACATAAACAAATACAAGTATCTTTTATAAGCAAAAACATTGGGTAATAGTATTAAAACTTACTTACATAAAAGAAGTTCATTTAGAAGCAAGTATAAATATATAATAATCACCTAGTTAAAATAGTAAATGATTAATTCTAATTCTAATATCATAAAGTTCTTGATAGATCAGTGATGGATAAGTGTACCAGGGGTATCTATCCGAGGGGTTACGACGAGGAGTAACTAGAGAGAAGTCAGAGCAAAAGTAAGAGAGAGAATATGTATTATTGAGAAAGTGTTGAGCGTATTGAGAATGTATTACAAATGGGGAAATGGGTGCTATTTATAGTAGCAATAAATGCCAGATAGGGACACGTGTCATCATTATGATGGTCGAGGGGTCACCTCAACGGGGTGGCACTGGCACTCGCATGTGGCCGCATTAAATGCGATGGTTGGATGCGGCGTTTGTACTCGGTACGTTGATCCGGCGCATGTGGGTGGGAGATTCTGTCAAGGAGATGCCTTCGGCCGTAGATGATTGGCCGAAGGCTCTTCATCCCGGGGGCCTCCAGGTGCCGAGGGCTCTAGGTACCGAGGGCTACTGTTTTCGCCGCTTTCTCCCAGACATTTTGAGTGCTTTAAAGAAGCTGTAGTGTACGTTTATGAGCCTTCGGCCAGGGGCCGAAGGCACCCTAGTGTTCATCGTGGGCTGTTTGGCACTTGGGGCGCTGTGATTTGGGTCTGCTGTGCTTCCCGGGCCTATTGGGCCTTCGCTATAATAGTGGGAGTTTATGGGCCGGGGGTTCCTGGGCCATATACTCCATTAGGAGTCCCTCACTCCTTTTGCCGAAAGGTACTTGAGGGAAAAGGAGTAATTGTGGTTGTCCTTTGATGCTGTCTTGCTTGTAGCTTGTAAACCTGTAAGAGATTTACGTTTGCACACGATTCTGCCGGGGGCAGTCCTTCAGTCCCCCACATTTTGGGACTTGAACGATTATGTTGCTGATTTGGGGAGATTTTGACATTTGCATTTTTGTGATTTTTCCCGAAGGGATCCTCGAGTTCCCCACTCCTTGAGGCACATGTAATGTGGTGAAGAGGAGTAGAGTAGTGCCCGTTGTCGCATGGGGCCGAAGGTTGACACTTTTCGTTTCATTTTGGGGGGATGCCTCGTTAAAAACCTCATTAGGAAAAATCCTGTGGGAAAAAATCCTAATGAGGGAAAAAGAGTGCACCGAATTCCCCCAATGATGACTTGAAAAGGTGAAACCTTGGTCTGAGATGAAGGACAAAGTTGATGCCGAAGGCTGCCCTTGATCTCAGGGCGCGTGTTTTGACTTGCCGAAGGCGCTTTGTAAATATCCCGGGAGATGCCGAAGGGGAGTCCCTCAATCCATGGGGTTGAGGGCGTGATAAATGTAAGTGGTAGTTGCTGTGTTGCCGGGGGGATTCTCTGGCTGTTGACAAGCTGGGGATGAGGGCACCCGAAGGCTAACCACTGATGAGGGGTTTGGAGGTGTGGCCCCGAAGGTTTCCTGATTCCCAACACGTTGAGGGTTGGGGGTCCCGAAGGGTTTTCCCGTTGTTAAGCCGTCGGCTCCTGAAGGAGAAAGCCTGAAGGCATTTGTAATGTTGTATGAGGGGTACCGGCCGGGAGCGCCTCTGTGATTTCAAAATATAGCCGTTGCAATCATACCGTTGGCATATGGAACGTTTAAAAAGTAGCCGTTGGAGAGGACTTCCACGTGGCGCGTGGCGGTTGCCTAGCTTTGGGCGGGCACCACCGGTTGGCGGAAGGGGCGGCGTGTAACGATGACTTTCGTAACCGGAGGCCCGGTTTTTGTCCCAAGCCCGGATCTGGGTGCTTATAAATACCCCTTGCCCGATTCATTTCCCCTTGTGCGTTTCAATTGTTTAGCGAAGCTCCGGCAAATTTTTTCTAGAGAGAGAAACTTTCCCTCGGTCAAACTACCAGCTTTCAAGGTCAGTCTTCGATCCATTCTCTGTTGCCTTTAGCATACTTTGCTTTTTTCTTGGTGAGTTCAGATTTCGTAGCCTTAGGCTAAGTGATATAGTTCCTTAGGTAGCCCTCTGTTGTAGAAACCCTCATCCCCTAGCCTTCGAGGATGTCTTCGCAAAGCGACTCACAAAACATCTCGAGGGAGCCTTCAATGGAGGAGGAAAGTATTCCTGATGTGGATTCTTCGAGCGAGCAGCTCTCGGCCGGAGACGATATGGAGGTTGCAGTCGAAATCCAGAGCCAGCTCATCGCCGAGGCCGAAGCGGAGGAGTTCGAGCAGGTCATAGAGGATGAGGAGATGGCCCTCGCTATGCAGATGGCTATTGATGAGGAGGAGAAGGAGAGCCGTCAGGTCACTATTGCTGTAATGCCTCCTCGCAATGATGCCGAGGCCGGAAGCTCTAGGCCCCTTAACCCGACGCCTCTCCGGGTGACCCCGGGAAGAAGAAGAAGACGAAGGCCGGAGCGCCCAAGAAGAAGGGGAGCGTCGCCGACCTAGGGAAACCGGTTGACATGCCCGAAGGCCACTTCTTTCTGAATACCGCCGCGCTCAAAACAAGGTCGAAGGCCGACCAGGCGAAATGCTACGTTACCCAACTGCATGTTGGGCCCTCAGCTACTGTGGTGCCACCGGGACCCGATGATGTTCTCTCCCGTGCCCCCGAGGGATGTATAGCGGTGCATATCCTCTCGGTCGCCATGGGCCTCCGGTTCCCCTTGCACCCATTTCTTCGTGAGTACCTCCGGTTCGTGGGTCTGCTTCCTTGCCAACTCACGCCCAACAGTCATTCTTACATCACTGGTTTCCTTCACCTCTGCAAATCTCAGGGGGTGACACCTAGCTTGGATCTGTTCTTCCAAAGCTTCAACCTTTGCCGGGGAGGCCATGCAAACGCCGAGGGGTTCGCTAATTTGCAGCAGATCACTCGGTTCAGACTGTTCACCGAGGCGCCCTCCTCAAACAAAGGCTGGAGGGAGTGGTGGTGCTATGTTAGGCTGGACGAGAACCCTTTCCCGAGGGAGTTGCGGGACCGCTTTAGGTGCCATGAGAGGACAAGGAGCGCCGCCCTCGAGAAAGATGGCCTCTTACTCGCCAAGATTCCGGAAAGGCGGAACAAGAACGTAACCATCAAGGAGTGCACCCTCGAGGAGGATCTGTATGCCCTTGGCTTCCGGCGGTATCGTTACTTGGGGGAGACAGACGAAAAGTTCCCCCTCCTTGATCGAGCCGGAGGTGATTACCGAGGGCCTTGAGTTTCGTACTTAGGAAATTTTTAGCACTTTTGATATTTGTCCATGCTTTCTATCCTTCGGTCTAATCTCCTTGTTGCTTTGCTCTGCAGGGGCCAATATGGACGTCAGGGGTTTCGCTGGCCTGATGAAGAAGTCCGTGAAGGACCCCAAGAAAAAGGGGGCGGGCGGCCAGAAGCCCATCAATGATTTACTCAAGAAGGGCGGTGAGCCCTCGGTGGTTCCCTCCGATGATGCTGCCG